GAAACGCCAGACGGGCGGGGTCGCACGGCCCAGGAGGCTGGAGTAGAAGCCCAAAAGCGCCCCCGCCTTTGCTGCATGCCCCATGACGTGGGAGCCGTTGACGTCGAGGACGCGGATGCAGTTCCCACACCGGCGTTGGGAGGCCTGCGCGTGGAAGAAGCGGGTGTTTTCATCCCCCTCCCGCACGCCGCGACACTTCCCCGGCTGCTTCCAATACGCCGCCTGCCTGATGATGGCAGCGTCCAAAGCCAAACGAGCATCCAAGCGGAGAGCAGCCTCATCTGTAGAGAGAAAATGATACTCCTCCAGAAAATCCATGAGATCAATAATAAAGGAGCAGTCATTCCTAAAAGTTGGGACGTAGCGGTGTTTCTTTTTCCAAGCTTTGGCCGCCGACCTGAAAGCCTTTTTGCGCGTGGCCAGCGCCCCGGCCACATCCCGGTCGCTAGTGCACCTCGTCCAGGCAGGGAGAGTGGAAGGGAGAAAGAGAGGGTTAGTTAACCAGGCAGTCTCAAAGAAGAAGCGGGTGGAGGCTGGGATTTTTGACGCGGCAGAGACGACCAGGGGGACGTGGTCGCTGACCGTGCGGGGGCGAGAGCAGAGCGAGGAGTCCGGAAAAAGGGCATCCCACCTAGAGTCAAAGAAGACCCTGTCGAGGCGAGCGAGAGTGGGGGGAGCGCTTATTGGTCTAGGTAAAAGACGGTCAGAGAGCGGCAGCTCAAGCCACCCAAGGCCATTGATCATGGCGTTAAAGGTCGCCGCCCGGGCGGCGTCGAAATGATCGTTGTTCTTCTCACCCGGTCTCCGGATGAGGTTGAAATCTCCTAAAACAAGCCAGGGGCGCAAAATAGAGGCGGCAACCCCCTCCAGGTCGTCGACCAAGGCCTGCGTGTAGGAGTGATCGGCGGGAGCGTAGACGTTTGTGAGAGCGAAAGAGAGGTCCGTGGAGACAGAGCGGAGGACCGTGGTCAGAGAGTAACGGGAGGGTGTGGAAGAGAGTAAGTCGAAAAGGTGGGGATCCCAGGCTGTAACAATCCCCCCGCGGCTCCCGTCGGCGTCCTTGACGGTGAAAGTCAAGAGACGCCCTGGGAGGAAAGAGGCGAGCTTAAAGGAGTCTAGGTGAGCAAGCTTAGTCTCCTGAAAACAAGCGACACAAGGGTTGATTGATTCGACGGCCGCCCGGACACGGGCGCATTTATCGGGCGCTATCGACATCATCAACTTCACCGTCGAGCTCGGCGATGACCACGGATGAGCAGCCATGCCTAGAGTTGGCCAGAGAGGACGGGAGGGTGGGTGGGCTCCAGGCACACATGCCACCCGCGTCACCGGCATCGGGGAGGGGAGGAGCATTCAAGACGCGGAGAAGAGAGGCCAGCTGGCCCCCGCCCCCCGTCCACGGTGCTCCGCCAGCACCGGCCCGGCGTCCAAAGAGCGCTGCATGGGGCGGCCAAGGAGAGGGGGCTGGTTATGCGCGAACGGAGGCGGCCCGTCGGAGAAGAAGGGAATGTACTCGCCGTCGTCGCCGAACGACGCCTCCATGTCCCAGAACTTGATGGCTTCGATGGAGACCACACGAGCCGCCCAGCGCCCGCTCCATGGCCAGACGTCGGAAGGTAGGTCGCGCGGCCGCTCCATGAGGACGACAACGCGAACCATGGCCAGCTCGCGCGCAGAGATGACCCGCGGGTCTACCTCCAGCAGCTTGCCGAAGCCGGAGAAGGCGGCGCGGATCCCAGCAGGGTTGAAAAACTCGACGGGGAAGGCGGAAGTGGCGAGGAGGACGCAGAAGCGAGCGCGTTGGGGGACACACCCGAACTCTTCCTCCCGGTGCAGGTCGATGCGGGCCCCCTCATGGAAGAACGGCTGGCGGCGCATGGTGGCCTCACGGTCCGCCCACGAGGCGAACTGCAGGTACATGACACTGACCGAAGAGGGGACAACGTCGAATGAGAGGTCCCCCACCCCACGCGCGAGCGCCGTCTGCACCGCCACCGTCGAGTTGATGAATGCGGACGACGGCTCGATGG